TTTTTTTTTTATTCAGCTATTCTTAATGGTTACTGAATCTTAATTGTTATTTAAAAATAGATGTCGGCCGGGTGTGGTGGCTCACATCTGTAACTCCAGCACTTGGGGAGGCCAAGGAAAGAGCATTGTTTGAGACTAGTAATTCAAAAGCAGCCTGGGAAACATAGCAAGACCCTGTTGCTACCAAAAAATAACAAAAACTAGCCAGGCATCGTGGCACACGTCTGTAGTTCCAGCTACTTGTGGGGGCTGAGATGAGATAATTGCTTGAGCCCAGGAGGTTGAGGCTGCAGTGAGCCGAGTTCACACAACTGCACTCTAGTTTGGGTGACAGAGGCACAGAGGGAGACCCTGTCCCAAAAAATAAAATAAATAAATAATAAATGTATTGAAGAGGCCAAACTTGGAAATGTTAATCAAAAGTAAAAATTATTTACCCTATTTCTACATACACATATATTACCCATTCATTTTATTTTGTACTAAATATCCCTGTGAAATATATTTTTCTTAATCTATTATTATACATTTATGTTCTGAAGAAAACGTGGATTGGAAATAATGACTACGAATAGGATTTCATTTTTCAGTATGACAGCTGTGTTCAAGAAAGTCATTTTAGGACCACAATAAGATGAATGTGTACTATTTAAAATACATACTATGAAAATATTTATATATGCTAGAAAAAAGATTAATTTGTCAGAATTAATTGTGCTTTAAAGCAACAGCGTAGGAACAAAACCTTAAACAAAAGTAACGGTGAAGGGAGACATTAGGAAATCTTAACTACATTGAGGCTAGCCACAGTGAAAGACATTGTCCATACCTGTTGGCACATGTGATCCCACTGAGTGTTAAGTTCTTTCAGTTCTATCTCAAGTCTCAAAGCAAACTCTGGCTCTGCTTCATTCTTTATCTTCTGCCCACCTTCATTGACACTGTTTAGACTGGGCTGAATTGTCTGAATATCATTGACTAAAAGCTAAGAAAATGAATCAATTTAAGCCAGCTGAAAAAATTACTGCCACATATTAAATATGCAACATAGCTAGAAAATGTAAAATTAGGACTGATGGCATCGCATATGGAATTTTGTCTTTTAAAATCTGAAATACAAATATATTGATATAGACAACTGCATAACAGTCTTGCAAAAATGTTCAATGGTTATTACGGCATGAATCCAGTGGGGAATTATTTGTATTTTACTTATATCAGAAACAAAAGGAAATAAATCTAATATTTCTGGTTAGAAAAATGTGTGAAAATGGGCTTCATACTTTACTATCTTGGTTAGTATTTTCATTTTCAAACGCAGGATATTGCAGATAATTGTTTACAGTGTAATGGGTGTGAAGGTGGATTTGCTTTTTTAGCTTGTATTGTAAAAAAAATTCTTTAAAGAGCAAGATTATTTTCTTCCTGCTGCATGACAATGGTATACTGAATATTATTTCAAAATTACATATTGTGTTATAGTACAGTGCATTATACATGAAGAGAACAACACAGTATGAATAATAATTTGTTGTAAGAAATAACAAGTAGCTCAAAGGATTCTTTACCTTTAAATTATACTGCATTTTATAGCAAAATAATGTTATCAAGTGACGTTGAGTACAAGGCAATGCTTTGTCAATTCCTCACTTACTCAACCCAGGGTTTCTCAACATTGGCACTAGTGACATTTTAGATTGTGCAGTTCCTTGTTGTGGAGGGCTGTTCTATGGACTGAAAGATACTTAGCAGCATCTCTGTCCTCTACCTATTAGACATCAGTAGCATCTAACCACCACCCCCAACCCAGTTATGACAATCAAAAATGTCTACAAGCATTAAAAAAAAACATCTGCTGGGGAGGGGAGGGCAAAATCCACCCCAGCTGTAAAACACTGATCTAACCAAGTAATATTCATACAAAATTATTCATATTAAAGACATCATATAAAAATCGTACTCTGCACTGTTTCAGCTGCTTTTTTAGAATCTCTGAATCCCCAAGGGCAGGCCATTCCTCCTTCAGAAAAACATCAACTTCAGCCATCCATTTCTTCAGGGTTTGTATGTGATTCTGAAACGAGACCCATTATAAGGCATTACTGGTGTGCTGATTACTTCTAATACAATTCATCATTGTGTTATGTCTAAACACAAGCCCAAAAACGATTCCCATGTTTAAAGGATGTCTCTAAGTAGCTCTTGAGGAAAAGAATATTTTTACTAAGACTGCGTTTTTATGGTCTACTGTATGAGCACTGGTGTGTGAAGTCTGCTATTGTTAAAAATAAAAAATTACTACCAAATGTGGTTTTATGATGTTACTCTCAAGAACATTAAATCATATCCCCCTCTAGAGAAATTTTAAGTTATAAAACAACTCATGAGAATACTAACAATATGCCCTTACAGTACATAAAACAAACTATGAACAATAAACTCAATGTAATGGTGTCTTTATAGCCTCCCTAAACTCGAACTTCACAAATTGTTTTCTACAGATGACAGTTTAAATAGTCCCTCCAGTTGTGAACTTTCGGACTAAGATTTTGTCATCTTAGAAGAGAGAGCTTTTGTTTTTATTTGTCTGACCAGTATGAAGTAATGATCAGGTAAAAATCATCATCTTTTATCATTTATAAATAGCCAATATCTCTCATCCATGATTCTTTGCCATATTACCTTTTTTTCTGCTGTTTCGCTACTTTTAAAAAGTATGATTAAACTCTACTGTCTACATGAGTTTTCTTCCAATTTACTTGAATGTATATTGAAAATACACGCTCCACAGAAAGTTTCCCCTTTAATATGATGATTAATAATAATTTTTAAAGTACTTATCTAAGTCAGAGAACTTCAACATGATCACCTTGCTGTTATCTTTCAAGTCTACATTTGATCTTTTTCCACATCTTCACTGTCCTTGCTCAGGTGTTTTTTTTTTTTTTTTCTTGAGACGGAGTCTTGCTCCGTCACCCAGGCTGGAGTGAAGTGGCACAATCTTGGCTCACTGTAGCCTCCACCTCCCAGATTCAAGTGATTACTCCTGCCTCAGCCTCCCAAGTAGCTGGGACTACAGGTGTGCACCACCACGCCCAGCTAATTTTTGCATTTTTAGTAGAGACGAGGTTTCACCATGTTGGCCAGGATGGTCTTGATCTCTGGACCTCGTGATCTACCCACCTCGGCCTCTCACAGTGCTGGGATTACAGGCGTGAGCCACTATGCCTGGTCTGTTCAGGTCTTATTACTGACGCCATTAATGCACTGGTTCATTTTGATATCTGCCTCGGTCTTACCTCATTCTAATTATTGATCTACAGTGAAGCCAGGAATCTTCTCTTCTCCTCCTTCCTCTTGCCATGGGAGTGTTTTGAAAACACAAGTGGAATCATATTATTTCCCTCTTTAACCAATAGCAGTTTTTTCTTATTGTTATTGTTATCACTCTCATTACCATTAGATTAAAACTCAGATTGTAAAACGTGGCATCCAAGGCCATTCACTGTCTACTCCCAAACCAGTTTTCCAACCATAATATTTTATTAATCCCCATATATATTGTCTCCCCAATGTTGAACTTATTCCAGTTAACTGAAAATGCTGCGATGCTTTCTCAAGAACTCTTCCTTTCTCGGTATTATCTAACTAAATTCTACCTATTCAATCTATAGCAGAGATAATCTATGTTCCAATAATATTTCATAATCTTTTTTTCTAGTTTATGTTAGATTTCCTTCCTGCCTACTGTGACAACCTTTCCCATATTGCTTTATTTACCATGGAAGGCTGAATAATGTTACCCCCAAGATGTCTACACCCTAATCTCTGAAACCTGTGAGTACATTACCCAACATGACAGAAAGGACTTTGCAGATGTGATTACTTTAAGGATTTTGAGATGGGGAGATTATACTGGATCATCCACCTGGGCATAATGTAATCACAAAGGTCCTAATTAAAAGGAAGTCAACACAAGGAACAGGACAGGGAGAGGAAGAGGAGGAGGAGAGGCAGAATGAGAGGGAGATGGAGATAGAGAGGGAGAGAGAAACTGACACCGGACGATGTTACACTGCTGACATTGAAGATGGAGGATGGGGACATGAGCCAAGGAATGCTTCTAGAAGCTAAAAATGCCAAAAAACAGACTCTCTCAAAGCCTCCAAAACACACACAGTTCTGCTGACACCTTAATTTTAGCCCACTGAGACTAATTCTGAGCTTCTGACTTCCAGAACTGTAATAAATTTGTGTTGTTTGAAGCTATTAAATTTCTGGCAGTTTGTTAGGATGCCATAGGAAATGAATATATCTACATTCCTCCTTCGCTAGAATGTGGACTCACTGATGACAAGAGGCATGTAATTGTGTCCTCTTAGGCCACTGGTCGTGGTAAATAATAGATATTTTCATGCAGTATTTACATAGGTATGCATGTACACATATGTTTATAAGTAAAGACATGCTATGCATTTAAGAATGTTTTAGGTTTGCTTAGTGCTTCGGTTTGTAAAAGGTAAGCACAAAAACTAAGTAGCTAGGCTGGAATTTAAATCCAGGAGCATCTTGTTGCAATGTTTTTCCATCATACCATAATGTTTTTGACATTTCCTTCCCAGTATTAACATTTTTCACAATAATTGACCACTCAAGGGACACATTACTTACCTCACTGAATAATTCAGGCTTTTAGATCTTAATGCAATTGTTGGTTTACTGTTTTTCTTTAGTTTGAGTGGTTATTACTATGATGGCACTATTCAAACAAATTAAGTCAAGAGGATTTGGTTTCAGGAAGAAGGTGATGGGGTAAAATTTAAGCATATAATTACAAATTCAATATGGTGATAAAATAATTTATTACTATATCTTACATATGTAACATTAATATACATAACATGTTACATATGTGATATATGATTACCTTAGATATGTATATATGTACATGATATATAATTCAATTATATGCACATATATACACATATGTACACATTATATGTGTGTGTGTATATACATACATATGGAAGCTAAAAATGCCAATAAAACACATTCTCTTTTAAAGCCTCCAAAACAGACACAGTTCTGCTAACACCTTAATTTTAGCCCACAGAGACTAATTCTGAACTTCTGACCTCCAGAACTGTAATATAATAAATTATGTTGTTTGAAGTCATTAAATTTGTGGTAATTTCTTAGGAGTGTCACAGGACATTAATACACCTACATTTCTCCTACACATATACATATATGGAGTTATACATAATGGGATTAATATATAATACAATTTTATGATTATATCACTGTATTTTATATATATAATAGCACATGTAGACAGCATAGTTTACTCATACTTTTTATAATAGCAAAACAGCAGAAACAAAAGGTAATATAGGAAATAATAATACACATACTATACATTATACATATACTGATTACATTATACATCTGTATAATGTATATATACATAACTGTTTCCTAGTCATAAGATAAATGATTACCTGTATCTTAAAAGACAACCAGACTAAATGAATGATTGGTTTTGAAAATCATTAAACTAAAAACATGTTTAATTCCTATTGGTAATGGTGAAAATAGCAAATTAATTCTACAAAAAACTGAGAAAACTCTTATTCTTTTCTTAGAAGGAATAAGCAAATCACCATCCTTTGTAAAAGACTCATGTCTTTTCATCTTATCACTAACTTTGAAAGATGCTGGAGGTCAAATGTTTGCGTACCTTTACAGTTTACAGTGTATTGTTAGGAAAATAACAAGTACATAAAAATGAGTGTAGAAAGTAAAATCTTGAATTACCTGAATTTTTCGGAGTTTATTCATTTGCTCCTCTAGCTTTTGACAATGCTCGACTAGCTGGGAGGAGAGCTTCTTCCAGCGTGTCTCAATTTCTTCAAATTCTAATTGATATTTTCGGCTGATTTCAGAGGGGGCTTTCTTTGACATCTCTTTCACAGTGGTGCTGAGATAGTTTAGGCCACTTTGTTGCTCTTGCAGAGAACTTTGTAAAACCTCAAAAACAATTTTTTAAATACATTTATACTAATTGATGAATAATTGATGAGTTTTCGTTAAATTAACTATACTTAAAATGAAATCTATGATTCAAACATGTAAACAAAGTAGATGATCTCATATCAGTTATAAACATCTAGCGGTAATTTAAATTTTACATATTACCCTAAGAGTAACCTGCATATTACTTAGTGATATTTTATTTAACACTCCCTATGCATTTTTCTAAACAATGTCAAATATATCTCAAAACTATATCTTACAGAGCCAAAGAGTTTTGGTGCATCTAATTTTACTGAATTAAGTATATATATATAACTAACAGCAGTTGTGATACAGTTAATGGAGTTGAAGTTAATTATACTGAACTTTCAGGAAAGTAAACTCTACGTAAAACTATAGCTAATAATATTGATATATGCAATAGAAAAACTTACTGAATATGTACTTAATGTTTCATATTTTCAAAAAATGTTATTCTGTTATGTAGTATTATGGTGGGATTCAAGGATAATTTTGTAGAGAATTTATAAAATTTATTTATACTTATTCTGTATGACACATGAAATTTCTTACATTGGATGACAACTTTAGGCTTCCCCTGTTCAATATTTACTTAAATGTAACTGTCTCTTTATAAAATAATAAAGGTTCATTAAAAAAATGAAAAAAAAGAACTACATTTTATATAAATTATCAATTTGTTCTATGTATAGCGAAATATTAAATATATGATCATATATGCACACATACCCAGTTATTCTTTCTCACATAATTTGACCTATATCAACCAAAATTTGTCAAACATCTAACTTTTATAGTTTCATAGTATCCTATGCCTATTTGGTGGTACTTAACTTGTTGTGGTTTTTTTTTTTGTTTTTTTTTTTGAGACGGAGTCTTGCTCTGTCGCCCAGGCTGGAGTGCAGTGGCCGCATCTTAGCTCACTGCAAGCTCTGCCTCCTGGGTTTACGCCATTCTCCTGCCTCAGCCTCCCGAGTAGCTGGGACTACAGGCACCCGCCACCTCGTCCGGCTAATTTTTTGTATTTTTTAGTAGAGATGGGGTTTCACCGTGTTAGCAGGATGGTCTCGATCTCCTGACCTCGTGATCCACCCGTCTCGGCCTCCCAAAGTGCTGGGATTACAGGCTTGAGCCACCGCGCCCGGCCAACTTGTTTATTTTTACTTTACTTTTATTTCACTGTTTTAAATTGTTCCCCTATGACTGATTATTTAGTCAATACCTAGCATGTAACTACACTTTGAGCTAGGTTATTTTATTGGGAGCATTTGCGCTTGTCAATTTTTTGTTTTCTCAAAAACAAAAATTGTTATGGCTTCTCTAGTTTAACAATTTCCATTATTAGTTCTACAAATTGATTTCTAGTTTTCCACTCATGTAAATTATGTTTATCTCTAACTACCTACCTATCTATCTATCCATCCATCCATCAATGTCCTATCTATCTCCAGTTCCATTTACATCTTTGAGTGTATTCTGATTATTTCTGTAAGATATAGACTTCCTGGAAATTATATTAACATTGTTGTATGCTATTAGGATGCACTGAAGTGTTAACCTCAGTAAAATTCATATTGAGTTTACATTTCCAGCAGTAAGAGAGAATCTTTAGTTCACCACTTCCAAATCCATACTTATATCTTTTGTGTGTGTGTACACAATTTAGTATGTAAAAAAGTTACCTCATTTTGTAACTTTTTTTTTATTTCTTCCTTTACAATTTAAGTTACAATTATTCATAGATTTATTATTCATATATGTCTCTTTTTGGAGGATATCTTACTCAAGACTTTCTTCCTTACTCACAGAAAAAAAAAAAAAGTTTCCTTGGTATCATATTTCTTTAAAATTGTCTCTGGTGTTTTTACAATGACTGTGATTGCTTCCATTGATTTTTAAGCTTCTCTACCTCAATTTTTATAACATTATTATTTTAAACATTTTCCAAAGTTTACACTTCCCCACACTTTTGAACATTCTATTGTATGTGGTTTTTATTTTGGTGTAACTTTGGGGGAAATGTTCATACCTTATTTTTTTGTTAATTAATACATTTCCCAATAATATTTATGAACGATTATTTTCTTTCCTATTTTTTTCAGTGGAAATAGTGTCTTCTGCTCATCTAATTGCCTTTTCTTGTGTGTTTTCTTCACTTTCCTTATTGTTGCACGTTTTTATTCTTATTTTTTAAAGTTTACTAGTTCTATTAGGCCACACATTTTTCCAAATAGACTTTGGAATCATTATGCCAAGCATTAAAAACTGCAACAAAAGGAAACAAAAAAGGCTAAACAACTACCATTTGGTATCACAGAATATCTAAATAGGACAATATATAATGAAAGCTGCTTAAATATATTTTCCTTTGAATACATTACTTCAAAAAAATATTTAATTCTCAGGAAAAGATTCTATACGATAAAGTTAAAATTTGAATTTTTAAAACATTTTTCTTAAAGGGCACATATTATCTCAGCCTCTAAATATAACTCATATGTTTTCATGTCTTAAGAAATAAAAAGTTATTGAATATATTATGCAGTATTTTAAAATTAGTAGGAAAAGGGCTGGACACAGTGACTCATGCCTGTAATCCCAGCACTTTGGGAGGCTGAGGCAGACATATCATCTGAGGTCAGGAGTTTGAGACCAGCCTGGCCAACATAGTGAAACCCCATCTCCACTTAAAAAATACAAAAGTTAGCTGGGCGGGGTGGCGCGTGCCTGTAATTCCAGCTACTCAGGAGACTAAGGCAGGGGAATCGCTTGAACCCGGGAGGCGTAGGTTGCAGTGAGCCAAGATAGCACTACTGTACTCCAGCCTAGGCAACAAGAGTGAAACTCTGTCTAAAAATAAAATAAAACAAATAAAGTAGGAAAAGTATTCTAACATCTCTTACAAATTATTTCTTTCATTTCCCATATTAGTATATCTTTCCTGATACAAGGATGTTAAAAAATGTAGCTATTAGAATTCAAATATCTCATTACATTATTACATAAAATTAATGTTTAAGTTTAAACTAATTTTATAAATATGGGCAGACCTCCATATTTGTGGATTCTGAATCAGTGGATTCAATCAACTACTAATAGATAATATTCGAAAAAAATAATTACAACCGTACTCAACATGTAAGACTTTTTCATTGTCACTACTTCCTAAATAATACAGTATAACATCTATTTTCATAGTATTTACATTGTATTAGATATTAGAAGTAATCCAGAGATGAGTTAAAGTATATGGGACGATGTGCGTAAGTTATATGCAAATATTACACCATTCATATCAAGGACTTGAGCATCTGTGGATTCTGATATTCATAGGAGTTCCTGGAACCAATTCCCCATGGATACAAAGGGATGACTGTACACTGATTTTACCCGTATGTTTGAGAATGTGACAGGAGTTACAAATAAAGAAGCAAAAGTGGGGAATAAAACAATGGTGTTTCTAATAATCAAAATCAATACGTCTGAAAATGCATGCTAAATTAAAAATATACTTCATAAATAGATCACACAATTGTTTTCAAAAACTACATATATATATATATATGCCTGTATACATATATCCATAGATAGAGTGTATGCATAAATAATACTTTAAACTCTCATTTTCATTTGCTCAATGGGCAAACTACCATACTTGCCAGAATTAAATTCTATTATTATTTAAAGGTTCTATCAATGTGAATGCTTGATAAGCATGCTTTATTGCTTTGACATTCAAATATTCACAGACCTGCAATTCCCCGAGTCTCTGCTCCATGATTTCATAGTCGGTGACACTAAGTTGAGGTATGGAGAGTTTGGTTTCTGACTGCTGGACCCATGTCCTGATGGCACTCATCGTCTCCTGATAGCGCATGGGTGGCAAAGTGTCAAAAACTTTATCATAAGGGAAAAAATAATGAGAATCACTTAACTGTTTCACACTTTGCCATGTTTTCCTACATTGTCAGCAAACTCAATTATATCACTAGTTTCAAATATTAACAAAATTAGAACATCTGAAAAATGTATTTGAATACGATTATGATTATGAAGATATATTCCTGCTACATGTGTAGTATGCCAGGGTCCTTATATATGTTACATTAAATTCACAAAACCACCTGGAAAATCTATATTGTTCAATTCATTTTATAAGGTCAGGAAACAGAAAAACAGAGAAGCTGAGTCATTTGCCCAAGGTGATACAGATGGTATTTGGAGAAACCGAGCAGAGTCCAATTGTATCTGATATTGAAAGGCTACTGTCTTTCAGTGTTATCATTTGCCTTTGGAAAAAAATAGTATCATTATCCAAAGCCCTTGATTTTTAAATTACATCATGTCATGTCTAATTTTACTGAAACAAAACCCATTTATGTATGCTTTATATGTATCAAGAACTCTAATAATAATCCCATATATATATTATCATTCTTAACTCATATAATAAACCTGTGAGGTACAAACATTGTTAATCCCAATTGCAATTGAGAAAACAGGCTATTAAAGAGGCATATGTGTGTGTATGTATATACTTTTATATGCACAATTATAATACATAAGTATATTAGGGAAAGTATTATACAGAGATATACAGTATGTGTATACATACAAGTTTATATGTTTTAAAGTATGTGTGTATATGTATATATATGAAATGTGACTTAAGTAGCTACATTGACCATGTTGAAAGAGATTAGACACAAGATTGAGAATGCTGCAGAGAACTGTAAACTATAAAAAGGACAAAACATTTTATGGATAATCCCAAAGAAATTCTAGAATTAAAGATATAGTAAGTGAAAAGTAAGAACTAAGTGCATGGGTTTAATAGCAAATTTGACAGGGGTAAATAGAGAATTACTAAACCTTAAGATTCAGAAGCAAATACCTGGAATGAAACATGGAGACACAAAAAGATAGAAAACACAGTAAAATGGTCTACTATATATGCATCCCAGAATGTGGGAGAAGCCATATTTAAACAGATAATGACTAATGTTTCTAAATACATGAAATCACAATGCAAAGTCCTGGTTTACATCATCACATCAAATAACATAATCTAAATCATATTATTTTAATTGCTGGGATGTGAATGTCATTTCAATACACCAATTCCTTCTACACTAAATGAGAAGACTATAGGAAAGTATTTTGCATGTATTTAATGTAGTATTCAGATAGTTGTGATAATTTTAGAGTGTGTTGGCAATGGATACCGAAATGTTAGAAATGGGTAATTTTATTCAATATGCTTATATTGCAATTATTTGGGAACTCATAAAAATGTTATGAGATTATACTTAATCTAAGCACTTTTGATTTCTTATTAAAAAATCTTTGTGGTACTTAAAATCTCACTGTTTTAATTTACACAAATAATATGTTTCTCTATTAACCAGATGCATTTATTTTTTATTTTTCCATAAGTTATTGGGGGTACAGGTGGTATTTGGTTACATAGGTAAGTTCTTTAGTGGTGATTTGTGAGATTGTGGTGCACCCATCACCTGAGCAGTATACACCATACCCTATTTGTAGTCTTTTATCCCTCCCCCCAACCTTCCCCAAAAGTCCCCAAAGTCCATTATATCATTCTAATGCCTGTGTGGGTCCTCATAGATTATCTCCCACTTATCAGTGAGAACATGCGATGTTTGGTTTTCCATTCCTGAGTTACTTTACTTAGAATAATAGTCTCCAATCTCATTCAAGTCACTGCAAATGCTATTAATTCATTCCTTTTTATGACTGAGTAGTACTCCATCATATATACATACATATATATAGACACACACACACACATATGTATATGCATATATACACACACACACACACACACACACACACACACACGCACCACAGTTTCTTTAACCACTCATTCAGTGATGGGCATTTGGGTTGGTTCCACGATTTTGCAATTGTGAATTGTGCTGCTATAAACATGCATGTGCAAGTATCTTTTTTGAATAATGACTTATTTTCCTCTGAGTAGATACCCAGTAATGGGATTGCTGGATCAAGTGGTAGTTCTACTTTTAGTTATTTAAGGAATCTCCACACTATTTTTCATAGTGGCTGTACTTGTTTACATCCCCACCAGCAGTGTACAAGTGTTCCCCGATCAACACATCCATGCCAACATGTACTATTTTTTAAATTTTTTTTTATTATTACCATTGTTGCAAGAGTAAGACGGTATCACATGTGGTTTTGATTTGCACTTCCCTAATCATTCGTAATGTTAGCATTTTTCATATGTTTGTTGGTCGTTTGTATATTTCCTTTCGAGAACTGTCTATTCATGTCCTTAGGCCACTTTTTGATGGGATTGTATTTTTCTTACTGATTCGAATTTGTTACAGATTCTGGATATTAGTCCTTTGTCAGATGTATAGATTGTGAAGATTTTCTACCACTCTGTGGGTTGTCTGTTTGCTGTTTCTTTTGCCATGCAAAAGCTTTTTAGTTTAAATTAGGTCCCAGCGACTTATCCTTGTTTTTATTACATTTGCTTTTGGGTTCTTGGTCATGAAATCCTTGCCTAAGCCAATGTCTAGAAAGGTTTTTCCAATGCTATCTTCTAGAATTTTTATAGTTTCATGTCTTAGGTTTAAGTCTTTAATCCATCTTTAGTTGGTTTTTGTACAAGGTGAAAAATGAGGGTCCAATTTCATTCTCCTACATGTGGCTACCCAATTATCTCAGCACCATTTATTAAAAAGGGTGTCCTTTCCTGACTTTATGTTTTCGTTTGCTTTGTTGAAGATTGGTTAGCTTTAAGTATTTTGGTTTATTTCTAGGTTCTCTATTCTGTTCCATTGGTCTATGTGCCTATATTTATACCAGTACCATGCTGTTTTGGTGACTATGGACTTTTGGTATAGTTTGAAATCAGGTAGCGTGATGCCTCCAGATTTGTTCTTTTTTGTTTAGTCTTACTTTGGCTGTGCAGGTTCCTTTTTGGTTCCACGTGAATTTTGGAATTGTTTTTTTCTAATTCTGTGAAGAATGATGCCAATATTTTGATGTGAATTGCATTGAATTTGTAGATTGCTTTTGGCAGTATGGTCATTTTCACAATACTGATTCTACCCATCTTTGAGTATGGGATGTGTTTCCATTTGTTTGTGTCATCTATGATTTCTTTCAGCAGTGTTTTGTAGTTTTCCTTGGAGAGGTCTTTCGACTCCTTGGTTAGGTATATTCCTAAGTTTTTGTTGTTGTTGTTTTATTTTATTTATTTATTTATTTTGCAGCTATTGTAAAAGGGGTTGAGTTCTTGATTTGATTTTCTGCTTGGTCACTGTTGTTATATAGAAAAGCTACTGATTTGCGTACATTAATCTTGTATCTGGAAACTTTGCTGAATTATTTTATCAGTTCTAGAAGCTTTCTGGAGGAGTCTTTAGGGTTTTGAAGGTAAACGATCATACAGTCAGTAAACACTGACAGTGTGACTTCCTCTTTACCGATTTGGATACCCTTTATTTCTTTCTCTTGTCTGACTGCTCTGGCTAGGACTTCTACTACTATGTTGAAGAGGAGTGGCGAGAGTGGCAGATACATTTATTTGATTGCTAGATGATTACAAATAAACGAAGTCCAAAACGGACCTTATAAATAACAGTGAAGTAAAGTGAAGTATTTAGTTACAACGAAGCAAATGATTGTGTCTGAGATGCAATTTCAGCAAATTATCTAGAAGGAGAGGGGACTATGGGCAGACACAAGGTGGTATGTTGGATGAACCATAAGCTTCATAAAAATTGGTTTAATTGAACTTGAACATGTCTCCCCTTTAACTTCTTTCTGGTTTATTTAATGAAAATTGAAACACTTCAGTCTCTGAATTATTGATTTTTTCTGTATAACTTCTGATCGGTATTCAGGTACAAGACTTGAAGTCCCCCCACTGAGATCTAAATCAAAATTTCACTCTGTTCTGACAGAAGACAGAACTACTTGTAAAAGTGGAAATTGCAGAAAAAAATTAGCCCCAAAAACTATGGAGATGATACAGGCCATCAGAAAACAATGAAGAAATGAGCTACTAAGTGAGTTACATATTTTCAAAGATTACTGACCATTAAAATATCAGCAATATTTTTGAAAGTTATACAATAAGGTAACAAAGATTTTTATATACATCTTTTTTTTCTTTGAGACAGGGTCTCTGTCATCCAGGCAGGACTGCAGTGGTGCAATCATGGCTCACTGCAGCCTCGACCTCCCAGGCTTGACCGATCCTCCCATCTCAGCCTCCCGAGTAGCTGGGATTACAGGCACGTGCCACCATGCCAGGTTAATTTTTATTTTATTTTATTTTAATTTTTTTTGTAGAGATAAGGTTTCCCTATGTTGCCCAGGCTAGTCTCAAACTCCTGTACTCAAGCCATCCTCCTGCCTCAGCCTTGTAAAGTGTTGAGATTACAGGTGTGAGCCACCGTACCTGGCCTTTACATACATCTTAAATATGATTAAAATTACCTGCCTTTTACAATATGTTTATGCTGTCATTATTTACATATTCACAGAATTTAATTCATTAACTACATTATTTTAACAATGAAAATGTATGTTTAATATGTTTAAATAGAAAATATCAAATTTACATCAAATTTGAACTCACTGAGAATTCAGTATTTTCCTCAGAATCATAAGCACTGGTTGTAATATAAAGTTTTAATTTTATCATAGTCATAATTCAGGGCTCATAGTTTTCATTCAATCCATTCTCCAGCCCCTAACATAATTGAGGCTGAGTGACTATCTGTCAATTACTTCTGAGTGCCAAAGATGAGCAACATACATGGGATGACACCCTTTCATTTGCTACTAGTCTTCTATTCAATAGATCTTTACAATTTTTATTGCATGTATCTACGCTA